GTGTACTCTGATGACGAATTTTCTTCTTATTCGATTCATGCTACAAATAGTACCAAAAAGTCTTGGAAAAACCTTATTACTAGCCCAAAAATCACAACTCTCCCTTATTTTAAAAATATAGCAGCGAAAAAATCATAAAAGTCAAATAAATTTGATCAAAAAGTCAAAAAAAAAGTCAAATAAAAGTACAAAAAAAGTCAAAAAAAGTCAAAAAAAGTCAAAAAGTCACGGCCCAAAAAAATCGACTAAAAGTAGGTGTACGCCCAGAATCGGAGTGATGTACCCCTCGGTATAATTACATTTTGGTAAAAATTCATTATACAATTTGACATTTACGCTTAAACGAAAGGTGCGAAAAATTTACTCATAGTTTGTTGGCTTAGTGTTAAAAAAGTAACATTGTATCCTTACCTGCCAGTTTTCAAAGAAACGCCTAGCAGTGACTTCCGTCCGGTCTGTCAGCCGTGACGGTTGTCCAGGACTTTTGTCCCGCTCCGTAACCCGACTGTCGCCTCGTGCGACCTCACCGTAACCTGTAAATCGCCGCCTCGTGTGGCGTTTTACCGTATCTGTATTCCATCGGTGGTTATTCCTGCCATCGTTGGCTGCGCCGAACACTCTGCGCCAAACATACGCCAGTCCTGGCGTGGGCAGTTAAAAAGGAGGAAAAAAAACAAAAAAAAACGCCTAGCAGTATTTCCGTCGTTTGAGTTACCCGCACCGCCGGCCCTCGGGACATCCACTATCAGATTTATCCTCTTCTTAAAAGCCTCTTGGATAAGCAGTTTCCGAGCAAGAATAGTCTCTTGCAGTTGAGCATTTTTTGTTTCATATACTTGAACGTCCAATTTATAGCCTATTTTTAATTCATTTCAGTGGGCTTGGCATTGCAAATAAAACAATTACTGGAGGAAGTTCCCGTCAAGAAATTGCATACCTTCCCATCAATCATAGTCAATAAAACATTATATTTTACGGATATTTCTTTGCGTTTAAGCATTGTTGCCCTTTTCACCTGCATATTTGTAATCTGTGCATCAATTTCCTTTTTTGTTTATACTACTAGATTCTTCGATTCTTTTTCAAAACTAAACTTTACAGGACGGCAAAATCTTGTTGATGGTGGAGTCTTATTCTGCCATATAATTAAGCCAGTGTCAGTTCTTAATTGTAGGGGTACGAGCGTTACCAAAAATAATAAACTGTCAGACCCCAACTTACCTGTAACAGAAAGAAAATTGAGTTAAGATATTGCATGAAATGGAGAACATTCTATTTTAAATGTCGTAACTAAACTTACCTTGTTATTCTGAAGATCCTGCAAAAGCTTGCTTGTACACGCCGAACTTCCATCCATACCATACTTGACAATCAGTTCAGCATTTTGTAAGTTTTCACCTGGAAGGTTTAGGTCTGGAATTTACCTGTAGACTGGGAAGGTGGAGGAGGTGTTATGAGGTAGATAGTAGCATCCAGCCATGCGGAATATGATTTCTCAAAGCGAGGCCTTTTCTTGTAGCAACCAACAATCAATTTGTCCCTCAAATCAGAGCAAACCTAGAGGAAAACATAGAGACATATGAGTGTTGGTTGTGGTCGGATGTGCTGAAATGCTGCAAACAAAACTGTGCAACGGTATCATTACATTCAGTATGGGACTTCCCTGCAAGCTGGGCGTACAAAATACGCCGCGATACCTCCATCTTGTAACTATGAAGTCTCGTTACAACTTAAAAATATAAAGGAAAAAATGAAAATCGGCTGTCTAAATCTTTGACTTCCTTAAAAAAAAAGAGACTTTTCCCTGAAAAATAAAAAAAAACTGGAATTAGACAAACAAAGGTAAAACAAAATAAAGAAAAATAGGAAATATCCTTGTACTCACTCTAACTTCGAGGAAATGCGCAAATTTGTAGTTCTTAAAAGAACTGATTGTAGACTGACAGTCTATGGCCCTGAAAAGAACCGTTTTTCACCAAAACTGCTCCTGTAACATTAAAAAAAATTTAAAACGTGCACAAGCAAAAAAAAAAAAAAAAAAAAAAGGAATGCGTACCGAAATAATAGCAAAGACTTACCTGATGAACGTATTAAATCGAATTTTAAATCGTAAAAGCAGATTTGATCACCAATCTCACCAACTCAATATCAAAGCACAGTCAATCACAGACCAAACACAGTGTATATCACGCCAAACACATTGACAATCGTCAAAACACAGACGTATATCCGCAGAAAACACAGGAATTGGATTTGTATCTTTTATTTGCACGAACTTAAGCAATAACACATTTTACTCACATTTATGTGCTCGTTTAATTCTTTTTATTCCAATATTTTATCATATTTTTCGTTTTGCCGACATTTGTGTCCATTTTCTCACATTTTGACAACTTGAAATGCTCTTAAAAAGCCGTCCTTTAGGAAAATCACGGTTGTAACTGCTGTTCCACAAGCAACTTTTCATGAGGAATCCGCATTTCGCAACGTCCGGGTCCGGTCAGGAGCGTAACTGGCGATATTTTACGTTTTGTCGACATTTTTGTGGATTTTTACACATTTCGACAACTTTAAATGCTCGTAAAAAGCCGCCCTTTGGGGAAGTCACGGTTGCTACTGGTATTCCCGTGGCAACTTTTCATGGGGAATCCGAATATCACAGCGCCCGGTTCCGGTCTGCAGCGAAACTGGCGATATTTTACTTTTTGTCGACATTTTCGTGCATTTTCACACATTTCGACAACTTTTAATGCCCTTAAAAAGCCGCCCTTTGGGAAAGTCACGGATGTTACTGCTGTTTCCTAAGCAACTTTTCATGGGGAATCCGAATTTCACAACGCTCGGTTCCAGTCAGGAGCGTAACTGGCGACATTTCACGTTTTGTCGACATTTTAGGCCGTTTTTGTGCTGTTAACGCTGTTAGATTGGTCGGTAGGGCGCTAAATATGAATCGGCTTGGTTTCCGAGTATTTCTTGCCTGAGTCAGTTGGGACCAAAAAATATTTTTTTCACATTTTTGACCCTTTGTCCCACTGTGGCAGTGGTTGTAGAGCCGCCACCACACGACGAGCTTTGTTGATGCGCTGATAAGCGGTGCTGCGTCGATTCAGGCCGGACGTGATCAGCGCCCTCAGGTTTAACAGCCTGTCGACCTGGGGACCTCCTTCCCGGCGATGATGATCGGTCGGGGGAGCTGCAGACCAGGCTCCGGGTAAGGGGTCCGCACCAAGTACTCACACTTGGCGAGGTTGAGTTCAAGGCCCATCAGCGCGGTGACGACAGCAAACTGCTCCAGAAAGTCATGCAGGTCCTGCAGGTCGACGGACGCCAGTAGCAGGTCGTCCGCGTCGGCCAGCAGGAGGGGAGTAAAGCCCGGCGCCAAGAGGTCTAGCCGGAAGCGAGCCAGCCCCTGGACAGCCACCGTGATCACCCAGTGGAGGGCCCTGGTGAAGAGCAGCGGCGCCAGGGTGCAGCCCTGCTTGACCCCCAGCGCCGTCCGGACTGGATCAGCCCCGTGCGGGCCACGAACCACCTGATGGAGGTGACGTCCGTCAGGGCCAGCGATGTCACCCTGTTGAGCAGGAAAGAGCTGAGGCCTTCAGCAAGGAGGACCGCGGCAAGCTCCCGTCGCCCGGTGGAGGGGAAGGTAGATCGTATATCCAGGGCGAGGCCGTGGACCGCGTCCCCGGCCCACCAGCGTGCGTCCAGGAGTCTCCTCAGCAACATGACATGGTCGTAGGTCCCGCGCTGCGCCTGAAACCCAGCCTGGTAGAGGGGAAGCGGTGGGAGGACAGCCGTGACGAGGGCGTGCAGGTGCTTCGCCAGAAGCTTGTAAAATCACGTTCCCTAGGGTGAGCGTCCGGTAGTCGCCCACCGTACGCGGGCGCAGCACCTTGGGGATCGGCTGCTGCACAGATGTTACCCACTCAACAGGGAAGTCTCCTGACTCCCAGGCCGGACCGACCTCTGCAGACGGCAGCTCGAAGAAGCGTGGCGGAGCGTGGCGAAACAGCTCGCCGGGGAGGCCATGCGGCCCCGCCGCGGTGTTGGTGGAGTGTGTCCGTTAGCCCATCCCACTTCATGGGTCGAAATCACGGATTTCGGAGGTACGGACCCTACCCTAAATGGTAGATTTCACTTATGAGAGACAGTGTGCAAAGTCCAGGGCCTGTGCGACAACGTTTACCCGGATCGCATTGCGATTTTCGTTTTGGCCCAACCTTGGCGCCAAACAGGCACGCCATCCTGTAGGCACTGCCCTACGCGCACGGTGGGGCCAGAGCGAACGACTCGGGCTGAAAGTGTTACCCTATGGGTCCTACTTTGTGTCAGATATGAAGGATCCGAGCTCCCGACACACGCGGCATGTCCAGGGGCCTAAATGTGCGACCGACGTCACTCGCCATTTACAGAAAATAATGCCGACGTAGCCCTAACTTTTTACTACATGAAAACCGAGGGCACACTTAGACCTTTCAAAATCAGTAATGTCTGCGGGGTAGCGGTGAGGTTTTCACTAGAGAAAGTTTGAAAAACATGTATTTGCGCCTGTGGTGACGTCACTTAGCCTGCCCGCACTACACGCCTGTAGTGCACAGTAGCCTAGTACACAGGCGTTTTGGACTTTTTTCGCCTTTTCCATTGAACGCGTCACCGCTACCCCGCAGACATTACTGATTCTGAAAGGTCTCAGAGTGCCCTCGGTTTTCATGTAATAAAAAGTTAGGGCTACGTCGGCATTATTTTCTGTAAATGGCGAGTGACGTTGGGCGCACGTTTAGGCCCCTGGACATGCCGCGTGTGTCGGGAGCTCGGATCCTCTATATCTGATACAAAGAAGGACCCATAGGGTGACATTTTCAGCCCGAGTCGTTCGCCCTGGCCCCACCGTGCGCGCAGTGCAGCGCCTACAAGATGGTCTACCTGTTTGGCGCCAAGGTTGGGCCGAAACGAAAATCGCAATGCGATCCGGGTAAACGTTGTCGCACAGGGCCCGGACTTTGCACGCGGTCTCTTTTAGGTCAAAACTACCATTTAGGCTCCGTAACTCGAAAACGTTTTTGGGGTGGGAGGGGCTAACGGAGCCCGGCCTCGTACACGGTGCCGGACATGGTGCCAGACCTGGCGTCCGGCGCCTCAGACACGGCTTCTGACCTGGCGCCCGGCCTCGAACAGGGTGCCCGACCTGGTGCCAATACTGGCGTCCAGCCTCTGATACGGGTCCCGACCTGGTGTCCAGCCCCAGACACGGGGTTCGACCTGACGCCCGCCCGACATCCGACCTGGCGTCGGGGCTCGGATCCGACCCGGTCCCGCAAATGCTGTGTCACTGATGCCGCACAGCCTGCCTTGGGATCGCGGGTTGTTTCGCTCTCTCTCTCATACAACCGGCCTTCTTTTGTAAAAAGTCAGGACCAGACGACATCCATAAAGAAAAGGGATGAGCATCCCACCCTAGTAGAATACTTCAGTCCACGGCGGACACCCACGGCAATCGGCAATCCGCCCAAACTGCGCTCGGCACGAATCAGTATCGCAGGGCTCGCATGCACCACGCGGTTGACACGTACGCCGAGCGGTCTCTGCCCGCGATGCGGTAGAGTGGAGTGGTAGCGGGCCATTAAGGCGCACCCCGCCTGTACTCCGCGCTGAGGACGGCCCAGCCGGCGTAGTCCGCTACGGTTCCGCCGCGCAGAACAACGGTGAGCTCTGTGAGCGCGCCCCGTGCGGGCCGTGCGTGGGGTGGCCCTGGCGCAGCGCTGCTGCTGGTGTTAGGGGCGGCCCCCGCCCCCGCCCTACGCGCGGAGTCCTAGCGGCCTCTTTTGTGACGCATTCCGCCCTCTCCACTGCAGGTGCACTCTGCCGCTGCCCTACGCGCGCTGTCCGCCGCGCGGAGTCGTAGCGGCCTCTTTTGTGACGCATTCCGCCCTCTCCACTGCAAGGACTCAAAACGTATTAAGTGGGTAGGACCGACTTTCGTTTTGTTTCAAAGATCGCTAGTTATGTTACCACATAGTACACAGCCTTAAACTGTTTTGCCCTCCATCGCTGAGTTTTGCTCAAAGTTCGAATTTTCGACGACTTTGTGACATAAGTTTGCCGAAACTACAAACCACAGCCACCAAACTTCGTGGAATGGTAGTTGGGTACTAGGAGTAGTGCCCATCACATTTTTTTAAGTGCAAAATGTTACAGGATTTGTTTTGGAAAGTCGGTAAATTTCACACACTTGTTTCAGCCATATCTGTGGATGTATCCGAAACAGAAAAAAAACAACTGATATTTGTCAGAGCACTGTTTCGCTAGCCTATTGTCAAAATAGTAGCTTTAGAAACAGAGGGTGGGGGAGGGGAGGGGGCCTCTGGGGGCGCCTAAGTCCTTTGGAAGCTTTCCAGCATGCACTGCGTTCTACGATAATTAACGGATTTTAAAGTGTAGTACTTTTAGGGACTTGTTCGCCGGAGAGGCCAAGGCACAGCTGGAATTGGCTCGCCTCCCAGCCCGTGGCGCTGTTCGCGTCAAATCGACGTATAAAATCGTCCACCTGGGATTTTCGATTTGATTGGTTGAATCGATAGCACTTTGCATGCTGAGTATGCACCAATATGCAGTTTTGCGATATCTGTAAGGGTTAAGCGTACAGAGCGAGCTAAGTCGGCCGCCCCACTCCCTGTCCCACCGACCTCGCGACGCTATTTCGCGCGCCGCGCGCTGCCGTGCGCCTCGGCGCGGAGGTGTGCAGCGTGATAGTACACGCCAGGAGCTTTCCGTCGCTCTTCACCGATTTTAAATATATTGAATAGTTCAGGAGATATGACGAAATGAAGATACGGCCAGCTTCCGCAAAATGGATCTTTATTTTCACCGGACGCTAACGCCT